ATCGGACCTTAATTTCCGCAATTGTCCGCAATATCATAAATCGCAATTATTCCGCAATTGCCTATTTGCGGACCCATCCTTAGATATAGTTAATAATATCGAATTAAGGTTGATGCAATATCATAATGATATATTCAATCTATATTATGACAATAAGGATTTGAGTAAAATTGTTATAATAATAATATTGATTCAATATAAAATCTATATCAATTGTTGTATCATTATGATATAAAATTTACATCAAATCAATATTGTAATAATAAGGAATCATTGTAGAATCCATATTGTAATAATATAGATTCAATATAAATCCTTATCATTATGATATAACAAATGATATAGAATCTATATCATTATGATAATATTTTGATATCGAATTATTATTAAAATAATATAGTTAAATTCAAATTATTATTGTTTGAAGCATAGCAGAGAACATTTTACACATTTTACTTCTAGGTCATTTAAATGCAAGGTCATTCTGTCTGTCCAAATTTGGTAAGCCTGATAATTAATAATATTTTATTTATGTTATCATATGTTATATCTTTTGTATTACAAAATAATTAATCATGTGAAATATGATATTATAATTTATATACCATGCTTCAGACTTTGAACGGATCCTGTTCTCTAGTAATATTATAATTCTATATTGAATCTATATCATTATAATATAGGTTTGATATTTTTGTAGATCTATAATTATGATATCACATCAATCTTGATTTGATATTGTTAACCATGTTGTAACTATGTTATAACTATATTAAATTAACATTGAATTGATAATATTGAATTGATATTGAATTGATATTATTAAGATATGAATATTAATATTGATTCTATATCAATGTGATATTATTATGATATCGAATTGACATAGATATTATAATGATATTAAATTGATATCAAAATGATATTATTGCAATATCAAATCGATATCATTAGAATTTTAAGGTTACTATAAAGTTAAAGAATGAACTTAGTGATGTTAAATAATGTTAAATTTAATAATACTATTCAAATAAATAATCAAAAGTATGGTTATAGTCATTAAAATCTGAATAGATCAGAATTTCAGATTGGTTCAGATTATTTTAGTTTAAAGATAGCACTATAATTAAGAAGTTACAACTCGATAAGTTGCAACTTCTTGTAAAATTTATTTTAATATAAAAATTCATAAATAATTGCAAATCAATAAGTTGCAACTCAAGTTGCAACTAGTTAAAAATTTTAAAATTAATTATAGCTTTATCTTCATTTCAGTTGATAATTAAATCTAAACTGAAAAAAGTCTAAACAAAGGATTCATTCAAGAAATTTTAAATTGATATAAAGATTCAGTTAATAATAAACGTCTTTGAGTTCTAATGCATCTTTTATTAAGAAAGTACCTGATAAAAGTCATATTTTAATTGTTAAAAATGACTTTTAAAAATCTAATAAAGTTAAACCTATATTGTCAAAGGTAATTTTTATTATAAATAGTTATATAAAACTGTTAATGCTAGAAAAAAGTAATAATAACAGTTATATCCAAATTGTCAGAGGTAACTTTTATTATAAAAAAATAATAAACGTCATATCTGAACTGTCAGATGTGATTTTATTATTGATAATAAAGTCACTTCTGACAATTTAGATGACTTTATTTTTATTTTTATAATATAATTTATATAACTTTTAATTTTTTGATCAAGTTTTATATGATAAGAATAAATATATAATTAATAATATTTAAAAAGTTAAGATCAACTGTTTCCATAATTTTTGTTACTTTTATTTTATTTTTTTTGATTAACTTATTTTTCACATAAAAGTATAATACAAATATAAAAATAAAAAAATATTTATATAACAAAATTACTAGAGATTTCAATAAAGTAGTTTTGAATTTCAATTCAAAGATTCAATTCATGTAGGGATTAAACATTCTAAAATTGGTAAAAAAATCAGGTTTTTCTAGAGCATTACTCATTTTTCTGATAAAAGGATTATAATTCTTTTAATTATTTATCCTATTTGGATTTCATCTTAATCCTAATTTTTCTAAAATTTCAAGGCCTTGGTTTTGTTCATGTTTGGGCTTTGTCCACTTATGACTGTCAAACCTGGTTTTTCCAGTTTTTCCATCAGGGATTTTAGGTATCACTGGAAAATCCCATTTGTCCTGGTATTTCCAC